TTCCGATAATTCATTGATTTGGTCAAAGTTTACTTCACCATCAACAATTTTATCTACTTTGGACAAAAAAGAGGATTTTAATTCTTGCTCTACGTCATTAACTTCTTTTTGGTTAATTAATGTCTGCAGAATTTCGCCCCCCTGAATGTTGGAGACACGAGAAGGTTGCACTAAAGAATAGACACTCAGTAACCTATACATTTGTGCAAAAGTTAAGGGATCTGGATGACAGTTACTTCCACAGGAGTTCCTTATCATGCCAAAAAATCGCTGAAGCCAAATTGTACATGTTCAGATTGTAATACACATTATTTAAAGATAATATATTTACAATTATTTACCTCTAGTGAATCTTGATTCATCCTAGACGTCATAAAGTACTCATAACCACACGTGTCTGTCAGAAATGTATGTAGTTGTAACGCAGTAGTTAAAGTAACTTTTAAACCACCATTAGTTTGTGGTGTTATAAAAGATGCGTTATTATTCCGTGTAGCGACTTCCCAATCGTGCAGGTATTTGAGAAAATCTTCTAGTATCTGGAAAAAAGCAATTTAGAAAATCATGGACAAAATATGTATGGAATTTTTAGAAATCCACAAAATGTATTCAATTAATATTTGCAAATAAGCCTATCTGTCTTTGGATAGTGCCGTTTCGCATGGCAGTTAAGATCTTGCATTCATCACATCGATCAGCGCATTCATGCGTTCTATGAAAGCGATTGTACAATTGTACAATTGTACGGTGGATGATTCTACATCTTGCTCGCAATCTTGGTCGGTTCTTTGAGGAGTAACGTTATCGAATAAGGACGGTATTTCTATACTTATATCATCATAACCTTCACTGATCAAATTTGCCATATCTGCTACAAAAGATCATGTTCAGCATTGGACTTCTTTTCTGAATAATTCTTGCCAACTATCGGAATAGCATTTTGTCTCAATTTCGGTATTATTCTTTCAGTACGATGTACTGTACCATCACTCAATAAAACATCGTTTGAACGAAAAACATCTTCGATGCTGAAATGTTCCTCACAAACAAAACTATGTTCAGTAAGTGGTCTCTTCAACTGACCTAAATTTGCAGTCCAACGATCCAACAATTTTTTGTCCTAATAATGAAATGAATAATCATAAATGTTGCACATAACCTTATAAAATGTAATGAGTATTTTCTTACGTACTTTAGGTGCTCTAAAAAGACTTTTATTCTTAATTCCATTTTCTTTGTTTTGCTTTTTCATACATTCCAGCCCATTTCGGCAATTACAAACTATACAAACGCGTTTTCCATTTTCTACAATTTGCTCATGGAGTTTAGACTTACAATAATGAATTTGCTGCAAGGCGAGCATTGCGCAGACGCTGACGTCACAAAGCGGAAAGTGTGGGTTGTCTCTGACGCCATATTGGCAATCGAAACTGGGACCACTTTTAGAAGCGGAGATTTTACTCCTTCTTAATACTCCGTGACTGGGACATTAAAAAATAGATTAATAAAGATGTGGAAAACGACAAAATTGTTTCTGGAACAAAACAAAAACATATTGCTTACTAGGGCTGATAAAGGAAACGTGACGGTTGCTATGGATGCTAAAGATTACAAACAAAAAATGCTTAGTTTGCTTAATGATGATAGTACCTACGAAATTATTAGAAAAAATCCGATTTGTAATTTAACTAGGAAATTGGGGGAATTATTAATATTATGGAAAAATAAAGATTACATAACGAAACAAGACTATAACTATCTTTATGTGAGTGATGGCTCACTTCCAGGGATCTATGGTTTACCAACGATCCACAAAGTAGACGTACCGCTCAGAATTATAGTATCAGCCATTGACAGCACTTTATATCCACTTGCGTCCTTTTTACACAAAATTATCTCTAAAGTTAGTCTTGAATCGCAGAGTTACATAAAAAATAGCTTTCATCTAATAGAGATCATCAAGAATATATCACTGGGGGACAATGATGTCTTAGTCTCTCTAGATGTAGTATCATTGTTTACAAATGTTCCTCTTGATTTAGCTATGGATAGTATTAATTACAGATGGTCATCCATATCAAAAAATATTAAAATTGATAGGAATGAATTTATGAAGGCACTCAAGTTAGTATTTGAATCTGCGTTTTTTTCTTATGATAATACCATCTTTCGACAAAAATATGGTATGCCTATGAGCTCACCTCTTTCGCCAGTCATAGCTGATCTAGTCCTACAAGATTTAGAGATGAAAGCATTAAGTACATTAGAATTTCACTTGCCCTTGTATGTGAGATACGTGGATGATGTGGCTTTAGCCGTACCTTCTGAAAAAACAAATGCCATTCTTGAAGTTTTTAATTCTTTCCACCCCCGTTTACAATTTACAATAGAGGTGGGAGGCACCACATTAAATTATCTAGATTTGACGTTAATCAAGGTTGACAAGAAATTAGAATATGATTGGTTCCATAAGCCAACTTTCTCTGGTAGGTACTTGAATTTTATTTCTGAACATCCGATTTCCCAAAAAAAAGGCACAATTATTAGCATGGTAGATAGAGCTTTCTTGTTGTCTGTTCCGAAATATCACAAAAAGAACCTTAAAATTGTAATAGAAACGTTACTCATGAATGACTATCCGCTGGAGTTTATATTTGACACAATCAATGAAAGATTAAAATCATTAGTACACAAAAAAACTTTGAAACAAAAAAAAAATGACGAAATTGGAAATGCTGGTTTAGATAATAAGAGATGGTTTTTAGTTCCATATATCAATAATATTACTAACAGGTTCAAAAACGTAGTTAAAGATTTGAATGTAAAATTGAGTTTTTTCAGCTTGAATAAGCTCAATTGTTTCATAAAAGCACAAAAAGATCAAGTGTCATCCCTATTAAAAAGAAATGTAGTATACAAAATTAGTTGTAGCGATTGCGACGTGTCTTATGTGGGCCAGACCAAGCGCACATTGGCAACAAGAGTAAAAGAGCACAAGAATGATATCAAGAAGAGGGATGGCAATCTCTCAGTAATCAGCGAACATAGATTAAGTTCAAATCATGAATTTAATTGGGAAGACGTCGAAATTTTGGATTCAGAAAGATGGTTATACAAAAGACGTATTTCAGAAATGCTTCACATAAAATTGCAAAATAACGGCATAAATTTACAGTCAGACACGGATTTGCTACACAATTCATATGTATGAATAGGTATGTACCTATTCTCGAAGAACTCAAATAAATTGAATATGATAATTATGATTTAATATTAAAATATAGATTTAAATAAATTGATAGGATGTGATTGGTTTATATATTGCAACTTTCATTGGTTATATGCTCTGGTTGACAGTGGCTTTGGGCTGGTTTACAGAAGAATAATGGTAGCAGAAACATAACATGATATAAGCGATTGAATTTTGTATACAAGTCTGACTTTGTCAGCCTTTGACTACGAACGTTGAAGAATGAGACGTTTAAAGTTGTAATGTACAGACATAGATATACAATTCATTTTACAAGATATTGATTATGGATAATTTGCAATAATCAATTGTCATTGTTCGAATGGGTGAGTGTTGGTTTCTTCTTTGATTGATAGTGTAATATAGCAATAAATGTTGTTCATTTATGTAGAACCCTTGTGATTCTAAGTCCACAAGATCTGCTAATCTTGTTCATCCAAGTGAACACAAGGACGGAGCGACCACTCTCTAGTTCGGATGATTGACTGAAATTTGATACTGTTTGTCACTGAAGATGGCCCGGAAGTAAGGCCGAAACGTATGAATAAAGATTGAAAATAATAAATCAATTGTATTAATATTACTGCACAAATTACGCAAGTGGTTGACTCTTAATTAGCCCGATATTTTAAATTATTGATAATATTAAGTTATTTAGTAATTGATTTAAAGGTATGTTTGGCTGCAAGAACATTATCTAATAATTCAACTAAAATTATCATATAACATCACAGTACATTCAGGCTTTGTACTTTTCGTTTATATAAACTTTAAATTAAAAACTTCGTTTTTAAAACAAAAACTTAAAAACTTAAATTAGTTTCCACCCAGACAGCACACATATGAAAATATCTAAAACTGGCGCATAAG